GGTGACGGTTCTCGGGTCACGTGACTTCCTGTGATGTCTGGTGCCGCAGTTGATCTCCGTAGGCGTGGCTGTTCGAGGTGACGTCAAGTCTGTTTGACGCACCTACGGGTCAGCATTAATCATGCGAATGTGTCAAACATCTGGTTCGCCACATCTGGTCTTCAGCCATATATCTTCATCACGGCGGCATCAACGTTCCAAATCTGTCCGTGAATACATTAGTCACATTTAGTTCATTAGTAAAAAGTCATTTCGGCAGCTGAGAGTGGAGTCGACCTCACACTCGGAGACGGACTCGGATGATGTCATGGTCTCCATAAATGAAAGGAAATTAAACAGTGGCGATTGTTCTGTTCTGTTCTGTTCAGCCTCCCTGTGCCTTTATCTGCTGTGAGAAAAGAAGTTCCAACACTTAACAAAGTGAAGAAGTGAAGACATCAGACAAAAGTTATTGTTTTCCCTCCAACAACAAATGAATCATTCTCTTTTATCCCCCGTATGATCCTCCTCTCAGGTCTGCCAGGACAGAGCTGCGTGTACTTTATATCAGCTCCTTATAAGTGCATGACAAATCAATCATAAAATTGTGCTTCAGATTTCTCTGACCGCAGGCCCTGAAGGAGCCAAACAACCAAATAACCACAGCAGCACACCGTAAAAAATAGCTGAAATAGAAAAGCAGGCATTTCCAGCAGCAGCAGCAGAGAATCTGACGCTGTGTTTGGGTCTCATCTCCGTAACAGGATCTCCAGCTTTAACCCTGATGCTTTATGTTTCAGAAGGTAGTGCGGACACGGAGTAGATGCAGGATGACCTTGAGGACAATGAATATAATTTGGAAAATATGGTTTCCTCAGGTTTTGGATTTTTATTTAATTTTTGCCCTTGAATTCTTTTTTTTTTTTTACAAATGAAACAAACTTTGTGCTCTACGGTGGCAAAGTGGTAAATGCCAATGCCTTGAACTGATTGAATTCGATCTTTATTAATATGTGGACCCTAACGAGCCTGTTTGTCTGTGTTAAAAATATCAATGTCATTTTGAGTTTATTGTTATTATGCCATGAGTCATAGATTTATTGTAATGTGGATATTAAATGTGTTAAGATACACATTTTGATGCTGCTTAGTTGTTTTTCAAGATATTGTATCAAATGTATCATGAGCGATTACTGTCTAGAGAATCTAACGGTCGTAATGACCCCTCGTGGCTCTTCTAGTGTTTAATTGGTTTCATGCTCCGTCACATCCAACCTTCTTGAAATGTCGAACTCTACAATATTCAGTCATAAATTCATTTATTGGCTTCTATCATTTTATCTAAAATCAAACCGTGACGTTTTTACTTCCTGTTTTTTTTTTTTCTCCAGACTTTTATTCCCAGACATCATCCATTTTCTTGCCTCCTTCTCTGAACTAATCTCTCATTGCTTGTAACTACAATCCTCATTTCACCTGTTGACTCAGAGCTGGAGGCAGATCTCTCTCCTGGGTGGAGCATCTCATCTCGGCTCCATCCACCAAGGACCATCCAAGGAGATTTTACCTCCAGTCTGCAGTCCCCCAGGCCTAATCTCAGAGCAGCCATGACTTTTTATTTATGTATGTGTTTATGCTTTTATTACGGGGTGATATACTATATGGTGCGTTCGTGCCGGTGTCGGCCAGGTTTGACCTCCGCCGTCCTCTAAATCCAAGAAGCTGACACACTTTAGAAAGTAATTCATAAAACCAGTTTATGCGCGGCCCCTCATTTTGTGTTGACTCGACTCTTTAGTTATGACCCGCTGCAGCCAAAACATTTCCGAAATTGAAGTCTGGCTCAAGACTCATTTCCATGTTTGTTTGCCCGCAGTGGAAAAATGGCGGTTGATGACAGTTCTTGTGCTGATAAAGTGGATCCAGAGGTGGTTGGTTATTTTGTTTCTCTAGTGTTTTTTCTAACAATTATAGGAAGAAACAAAACAGAGGGAGAGAGAGAGAGCGAGAGGGAGAGAGAGAGAGTCATTGTTGCCCATTGGAAATAATGGCTCATAGTCACAACAATATTTACACATGCTGTACTTTGAAAACACAAGTGGTGTATGATGGTAAACAACATCATTTTCAAGTCGATCATGGGAAAAAAAAGTTCAAAAATATTAGTTATGAAATAACTTTAATGTACATAATCAAATCTTTACATTTTTTTGGTTCTGCATTATTATAGCTTTTTTTTTTTTGGTTTTGGAGATTCTCAATACGTGGCCCCTGTAATGGACTGGATAGCTGTCCGGGGTGCACCCCATTTTTGCTCCTTGAGTGCTCCAGCTCCCCCTGCAGCATCCAAAGGATTAGGCAAAGTAATTGAATAACTGACTGTTGGAAATCCAACCTGTGGCTCTGTTTCAACTGGCCCGGATATGGATGTTGTCCAATCCAAAAATTCTGACCTGCCACAAATTGGATTTGCGACTTTTATTGATTGCAATGAGCTTGCTAATCTTTATTAAAAAAAAAAAAATGCAAAAATTGTTGCAATTAACTTAATAAGTGAGTAATGAAGTAAACACACACACACTAACACACACTGACACAGTGTCTGCTGCAGCAGCGTCTGCCTGGCAGCTGAGAGCAGCTCTGACTGTGAGCTGCCACTTGATTTCATGTGTCCTGATAACGACTATTAGGCGACAGGCGTTGGATTTGTTTTGTTTTTTTTGTTTTTTTTGTATTTTTTCCTCCTGTTGCAGATGAAAACCAGGAGTAAAAGAAAACATGTTTTGGTACTGTGAATTATTTTCCTTGAGGTCAGGAGCAACACGGGGCAGGCAGGTGCAGATTATGGAGTCCTGAACCTTTACATAAGATCAGCAGATGATTTTTTTTTTCAAGACTGCCTTTTGTGTCTTAAAGATTGAGTTAGATTTTTGAGAACTAGCTTTGGGTTCTTGGAAATCTGCCTAAGGTTTCCTGAAGACTGGCTTTGGTTTATACCCAGACGTTTCTGGGCCAGAGTGGAGATACACCCACTCCATCTGGTCCTGGGCCTCAACTGAGCCCCCCCTGGTGGCATTAAAAAAAACTGGCTTAGGTTTTCCTGTAGACTGGCTAAAGCCTTGAAAACAAGACAAAGCCTTGAAAACAAGACTTTTTTTTTTTGCCCAGTTTCTAACATTTCCAAATGGAACATTCGTTATTCTGATTGGCAGATCGATTCCCCTCATCTTCCATCCAACATTGTCAACCAAAACCTGCTGCGGCGTCTCTTCTGCCGCTGCCTTGTTCTAGATAATGGCATTATTGTTATTGCCTTGTTGCTGCCTGCGTTGGCCCCATGTTGGCTGGTGTTTATTTTCCCTAACACTTGACAGCCACGGAGCCATGGCAGTGATCCATCCTGACAGCCAGGGGCTGAGCGACAGACTCGGCATGAGAGGGAACCCCAAGGTAATCATTTGCATTTGTTTTTTATTGCCTTCATTAGGGCTCCCCTGCTGGGGCTGCGGTGCAAGTCTGTGTGACAGACCCCATGTTTTATCTGAGAGTCAGGGGAGGTACGTAGCTGGGAGCGGGCTGGAGTGTACAGTACAGTGACGCTGCGCTGATTAAGAAAAGCAGCCGGCGATCGTGGATCACAGACTCTGACATCTCCGA